CAATTGTGATTGCAGCAAGCAGTGATTCTGCATTGATACTTCCTTTATAATAATAATAATAATAAATAATAATAATAATAATAATAATAATAATAATAAACATGTATCATTTCCTTCAACATCACATTTATTCACTTTATGCTGCTCTGTCACATAAAATCTAATTAAACTTTGCTGAAATCAGTGGTGGTAATGCGATAAATTAGAAAAGTTCCTAGGGTTGTGAATACTTTTTTTGCAGACACCTCATTTGTCTGTAGGACCGGATCCATTTGAGTTATATGTTTGGCAGGTTTGGAGTCAGAGCTGCATTAGATTTGAATCCAAGACAAATGCTGGGGTTTTTTTTTTCGACACAGATGCTTTGGCAGAGATGGAACGTGCTCCGTTTCATCTCTTTCCCCCTGCCACTCCAGCTCTCTCTTCAGTAAAATTTGATCTAATTTTCTTTCCCGTCCTTGGGTATTTCCCCACAGAAATGAAGGGATAGTGATTGCTGGGTAGGATTGGAGTGGATCTAATCTTCCACTGCTCTCAGTCATACTCCATTTCACTGCACATCTAATTTGTCACAGTGCTGATGAATATGCCACAAGTTTCATGGGAAAGAGAAGGACATAATGAATATAAAACACACTGGGAGAGGGAAGAAGCAATTGCTGCACCGCACTAACCACAGCACATTGTTCATTTTCTCCATCAGATTGCTGACACTGTGCTTGCACTATGAGGACATTGCTTTCCTCCCCCAGAATTTGATCAAGAGGTTAAAACAATTGCAAACAATGTGGGTTCTGTTGCTTGCCTGCATGGCAGAAGCAGAAGCACTGTGATCAGTTAAGATCACTGACTTCAGGACCACTGTGTTTGCCCAAAAGAGGGAAGGCTGCGCCCCCATAACGCTGCACAAAACCGGCGTGCCTTTGTGACCTGTAACGTATTAAATGCAAGCTCTGCATGCACATTGATTTCAGGCACATGCATGCTTGCAGAAGGGCTATCATTCAATAGCAAAGAGGCCTATAAATTGTGTTTGATGGCTCAAATATAGTCCGGCATTGATTTGAAAAAGCTGTGACATCAAACAAATACATCCATGCACACACATGCACTCATCACACATGCACACGCCAGCAGATGGTATGAATTGCATCTGCATAATGACATTGTAATTTTGTCATTATTCATTATTGCTCTGCTTGTGATTGTCAGCGTGGTGATAACTCGGCAGCAGTCCAAGCAGCGAAATGAATAGGCAGGGTCAAAATTCTGCTCAAATGTTTCCTGGCAACGAGATGTTTCTCTGCGTTGAAAGCTGTAATTGCTTTTAAAAGTTGCCCACTACACAACTACAGCTATGTTACTGGGCTCAAAAAGAAAGAAAGAGAGAAAAAAAAAACACAAGACAGAGAAAGAAAGAAAAAAAAACATCACAGAGAGACGGACTTTTAAAGAGATCACATGGTGAAATGAGAAGATGTTGTGTTGTGTCCGTTCCTCTTGTTCGCCGTCTATCTGTGGATTGAAAGTGGATGTCTCTTTAAACAAGGATATGATAGGATCAGCGCGCAGAGCTGCTGCATCACCTATCCATGAGACGGGAGAATGGCTGATGAGAAAGCCCTTCAGGACTCTTCTCTAAATAGGCATGAAATTATATCTCCCTCTGACTGAGATTAGTGTTCACGGAGCCTCTCGCGTTCTGCCCCCTCTTTTTTCCTCAGGCTCTCAAACCAAACAGTCGCTCTGCAGTTTCAGCTGCTTTTGTGCTAAGTTTAACTAAGTTCATTTTCAGCTGGAGCCACTGTCTGTGTCCCCTCAGCTTCTTTCATGGAGTATTGCAGGATTTATAACACATGCTCATGGCTTGCGGTAAACCAGAGTGATTTATTTTTGTTCTAATTATTGATGCTTGATTGTGTAGCTGTTGTAGCATTCACCGCAAAGAATGTAAGACTTTGTTAGTTTCAGGGCATGCTGCACAGACCTCGCTGCCACGAAAGTGAAGCTTTTCAAATAGAGTCTTTGAAAAAGGGGAATTATGAAGATATGCAACAAAGTGTATCCGCAAGTTGCAGATCACAATCGAATGTGCAAAAGTCATGATGTTCATTTCACTGTGTTTTCCTTCATATCCAAATTTGGTGTCTAGCTGAGAGCTATAAGATCAGGACCCTCCATGGCATGATCTGTTTGAGATCTAGACTTGTTGTGGAAACAGAGGGCCCCTCTGCAGGGTAATTAAGCCTGGCGACTAATGCCTACAGGAGCTCAAGCTACAAGGGGAATGGCAATTATATTCACATCAGTTCGAAGTTAAATGTTTTTAGAACAGGAATGAGACAAAGAGGTGGAAAACATATGAAGCCAGTGGAGAAGTGTTTCATTTTTCCAGGAAGACAGTGAACCCAAAACATTCAACCAACCAGTGAAAAGCCTCAAAACCTCAAAGGCCTCGTCAGTGTGAAGGTTCGTCACAGACCTGTCTTATTCTTTTTTGTAAAAGAAAAAAAAATAGAGGAAGGATAAAAGAAGAATCGTGTATTCCTTTTCTTTTATTTCATTAGTGTTGGTTTATCACAGAAAATCCCAACAAAACGCATTGAGGTTTGTAGATGTAAAACAGTGAAATGTGAAAAAGTTAATCAGGCGTGAACATTTTCTCAGCATACGTTACACCTTGTATATTATATTATTTCAGCAATGTGAGAACATGCTTAATGATGCCAAGAAAGAAAGATGACTGATATAGTCATCATTTTGGTTCATCACTCATGCACACTCCTAGAGTTATTTACTGTCTTGTCCTCTTTCCAGTAAAGGAAAGTGAATCAATCCTGGAATGAAAGACTTGACTGACTGATCAAGGACAAAAAACTGCACATTAACTCACACACATCGTGCTTTCAAAGGATCCATAAGGACATGAGGAAACTGTTTCTGTCGTCAGTCTCTTACTGCTGTGCTGTGCTTTTCCTCTGGAAGTTGTGCTTCTGTCATTTGCTGTTACTATTGCTGCCATTGTTCATTTGGCATGTTTTCAGTCTTGCCTTGTGTCCAGTTTCCCCTTCATGTTTCTACATTCTCAAAGAGGAAAATTATCATGCTTCCATAATCCTTCTCTGCTTTGTTGAGTCTGTCTTTGTGTTGGAGTTTTAGCAGGTCAGCGATTGCGTAAGGCTAAAGTTAGATGATGATAATGATGATGATGGTGGTGGTGCAGTGAGTGAGTGAAACATTTAGTTTTGATTCTTTAGAGCAATTTGAACTTACTTTCCAAGCTTAAATGAGATATTTAAATGGACGATTTCTAGCTGAACTGGACATGGAGTCATAGTTCAGGAAGCTGGAACGGTGAATTTTCTTTCTTCCTGCTGCTAAGGAAAGTGTGGGTTTCTAATAATTCTGAATTTTTTTGCTATTTTATGTGTGACACATTTACTGCAGAATCAATTATTTGTTACAAGAGATGACAAAGAGTTATTAATACAGGTGACTTCATGGTATTTGTGTCTGTTTTCCACCCAAATTTCCATATTGGTTACTTTATGACCTCAAACATCAAGTGGTAATTGAAATTTTATGTGACCAACACAAAGAATGGCAAAGTTAATCACAAAAAAAAAAAGAATTTGCATTTATATCCAGCACCACTTCTGCCAGAAATGTAAAAAACCACATTTCAACACTGAAATGAACTGAAATTCCTGCCCATTATTTGCAAAATGGCTCAAGGGCAGTCATTTTAGATGGAGAACCATTGTGAAAAGCTATTTTCTGGTTTTGCTGATTTGCAGATGGAAGGGATTTTGCTTTTACCTTGGCAGGATTGTTATGATCCATAACCTTAGCAACAAGGTATTGTTTGCTCCAACCTAGACTATGTCCCCAAACCTCAGAGGAGTTGAAAACTAAGCTTCACAGATGTAGAGCAGATTGAAAGCAGACTGAAGAGAAAGCTCGAACCATCTCTTCCTTTTATTATATTGGGAAAAGAACATATGTCTGACTCCAATGTCTCCCTCAGCCCAGATCTCTGAGCTTATGAACAGACAGAGATTTAAAGAGGAGTAGCAAAAGTAAATGAAGTGGATAAGCAGTGCTTGCCAACAAATGATAATGTTTTAAGAAATATTTTCCCCAATTGGCAAATTGTCTTCCAGAGTTGCCCTGTATTTAGTCCCATCCATCTTCCCTTAAACACTGACTGTATTACCAGTTAAAGCATCCCCACAGGAAGATGCTGAAACCATCATGTTTCACCTGAGTAGTGGTGGTGTGTCCAGAGATGTGTTAGTTTTCTCACACAAAAAGTGTTCGGCATGCAGTTTTTTCACACCTATTCACACCTATTCATAACATTTTTTACATATTTTTGTTGTGTCTCCATCACAACGTGTGAAAAACCACACACCAGAATTTTCTCAACAATGGCTTTCTATGTGCTCTTCTGACAGTGAACAGCTTCTCCTACCTTCATTGTGAATCTCTGCAGCTCCTCCAGAGAGACTTGACGGCTTCTCTTGACACAGTTAAACAATTGGTTGTCCTGGACTTTAGTTAGAAGTTTTACAGTCAAGAGGGCCAAAAGCAAAAGGCCTTTTTATATAAGTGTATTTTAAAATGCAATGAGGTTTGCAGATGCAACATAAAAACAAATCTGAAAAGGTCAGGATAAATAAATACCTCTGAAATGAGCTGCATACAAAGATCCCACCCAGTAAGTCAGTGAAACACAGAGGGTTAAATCATTTTGCTTCTTCAGGATTGCTTGTGGTTTTCCAATGAGACATGGGAAAATATACCCTTTCCTAACCAGCACAGTTTGATAGGTATACAAAAGTCAAATTATAGACGTTTGAGAGAGCGTAAGAGCAGCTCAAAGGGAAGAATTAAGGCCAGAAGGACTTTGAAATAGTAGATGTTTTGTGCAAAAGGTGCCTTAAGATGGGTTCATACAAATTAAACACGAGCAGAACCACATATTCCACACAACGTGCTAGATTTGAGAAATATTTTATTTCTTATCAGCAAAAGACACACAGTTGATGCATTTGTATCTTTTATGACTTTTCAGTACAGAGGAAAAACCCAAACATATACACAGTGTGGGCATATATGTGTATGGGTATATTTTAAAGTGCAAGTGATTCACAAGGGTTTAACATGCGTTACATAGAATCCGTTTTGAGGAACTTCAGTGATCTATAACAGAGACTCACTTTTGAATCTGATATCTTTGAATCTGTAAAATAAGCGCCACTGTTGGATGGAAACGAAAACAGACTTTTACTAATCACTGAAGCTTTTCAAATTAAAGCACAACAATCTATTTCAAGTTTTGAGGGGAACGAGTACCATGAAGCTCCAGAAGTGGGAGAGGGTTTTTAGTTTTCGAGTAGTAACAGGAACAGTCTGACGAAGCTCACCACAGGCCAATTTAACAATGTTCCACTTTCATCTTAAACTCTCAATACCTGAATTAAAATGGAGAAAAGAAGGAATTTAAATAAAAACAAGACAAAACTTCTGTGACTTTGAGCTTTCATCGGCCATCTTAGGCCTATCCTTGTCTGGAGACATTCAGTATTCAGGTACATTCTCTAAAATTACTGTTGCATTTTTACTTGGTGAGGAAACAGTCGATTTGCCCTTGCCAAATGAATCCGACATGACAGAAAAAAATAAATATGAAGACATGGATCAACAGTAAGACATCTAAATGACTGATGCTGAGCTCATTGTGTGCTGACAGGTTCCAGCATCATACAGGGTAGTTTTAGCAGCAGCTGTTGGGGTTTGGATTTACCCATGGTCAACAAAGATACACACAAATGGATCAAGAGGACATGAAGAAGCCCTGACCCCCTCAGGATACGCGGTATTCAAACTCATCTCCATTCACTGGGTAAGTAAAATATGCCTCAGTTGCACACATGCTGAATGTTTTCAATGCCCTTTATAGTGGTTAAGATGCAAAGTGCAAATTCAAAATAAAATACAAGCTAGTATATACTACAGTGTCACTATAGTTCTTAACTACCCAGTATTTCTTTTGGAACATCTCCCCCCCTTCGCCGCCCTTTTGCACAGCATGTCATGAAAGAAGCGTTCCTGTTCACAGAACAAAAGAAGAACTGGTCTAGACAAATCACGGAAAAAAGAAAGCATCATAGAGGTGCGATGCCTTCACACCGTGAGTGCAGCATGAGAGCACACATGGTGCAGCTTCACTCACACAGCATCAGCTGGCGATGCATGAGATAAAGATCAATTTCCGTGTTGCAGTGAATCCTTTTGTGAGTGATTATTGCATAGTTTGGAATTCTTAGCGTAGCTCATAAAGTGAGACTGAAAAATAAAACTTTTTCTTTCCAAGATCTGTGCTTCACTAAACAATCCAAGACAAAATAGTTCTCATTGAAAAGAGACAGCCATCAGTTCCTTTAATGAAGCCAAAAATAATAATAACGGAAAAAAAAAGAATCACTATTAAAAATAAAACTATAGTAATCAAAACAATTTGTGGCGTTTAATATTTGAAATAATTGATATTCTAAATCAAACTTAAAACTTAGAGAGAAGTTCGCTTCTCTACTGCCTTCTTTGAGGTGCACATTTTTCAATAAGTTGGTTTAATTGAGCTAAACTTACTCCACTCTAAGCCAACAGAAGCCATTTACTAGAAGTCCACAGTGCCAAACCTTAATCCATCAATAGGGTTCAAATTAAAACAAACACCAGCATGAGGACCCTTCTGAGTGCCCATGGCTCAGGGCTAACCTATTCAATCTGAATTATTGCGATGCAAGGACCATTCGTCAAAATCATTTGCAGGATCACAAATAGCGTAGAATATTCCTGAAATAATTCATACATTTAAAAAAATAATAAAATAAAAATACTTTTCTGATTGCAAAAAAGTGCATGGACAAACAATTTCTCCAAATGGGGATGCAGACAAATGCAGAGCAAGTAAAAGACACTAACAAATGAAGGACACCTCAGATTTTGATTTTTCTTGCAATCCGATGAATATTAGCAGCTGTGGTTGATTGCCAGTGGAACTTTTAATGTATGTTAAACGCAAACATTTAACTAATGGCTACAGCAGCAGCGTCTAAAAGCTAATAAACATGGCCACCAGATATAAATCCCAAAACTTTAAAGGCAATGGACATTAAACTGCAACTCTTCTAGCTTTCTGTATGAGTTAGCTGTGCTGCAGTGGTAAGTTTAACTTACATGCAAACAAGGAAAAGTGGAATATGTTTTAGGTGTGTTATTTTTCTTCATGCTCTGCTGTTTAACTGCACTATTCACAATAAAGACATTTAAATGAATATTCTGATTCTGCTGACTTTTGTTCAAAACTGATGCTTCGTTGCTATGTGCAGAGTAAGCAGATATAGCAGCGAATCCCTTTCTATGAAAACCAGATTATAGATAAAGTGTAAATATATTAGGGAACACTTAATTAAAAGAGTACTTTACACTGGTGTTTGTTTTCCTGACTTGGTTATTCTTCACTAAAGTGCACAATGTTTTCTAAAAGTGGACTTCTAGCAACCACAACAGCAACTTTTGTTTTAAAACCAAAGCAGTCTCTTGAAACTCCCATAAATTAAATCATCTGACCTGAATGACCAACCTTGTTCCCCTATGGCCAGCACAGAGTCATGACATGGGTCCCATTCAGTCACCAGAGTGTCATCTCACCTTTCCTTTTTTTGGCATAGAGCTCATGTTCAAACAGGGGTCATGTCTAAACTGCTAGTAACCTGTAAACTATGTAAAACTACAATAATGCATAACATAATAAAAACATTAAATAATATAGTAGGAAAATAAATATCATCAAGGCTTTTTTTTTCTTTTCTTTTTTTTTAAATAGTCAGTCTCTATCTTGATACAGGAAGTCAGTGTTACATGATTCACTTCCGAGAACGACGATCACCAAAGTCCAAAACGATGGCTGGTTCTCACTCTCATCAGTGAACACGTCATTCGGCTACCGCGCGTACATTGCTGTTTCGCGCTCAGTTCAGAACTAAACAACTGAACTGGTCCCGCATGTAGCTCAACAGTCTTATGCATTGCAAGTGTCTGGATATAAGATATTAGATAGACTTGGCCGCGACCTGGAGAGTCTTTTTTTTTTCTGCCATCAGAAAATAAATCCTAAACTCTATGTGCTATAGCTAAACGTAATTTTGGTATTTTTGTGGATGTCATTCAGGGCAGTTTTATGTGTTTTTTGGTCACTTTAAGGTAACCTCTCGAAGGTTCTCCAGAACAGACCTAGTCCATATGAGCACTCTTTTAGAGGGCAGATTATGGCTGTCTCACATAAGTTAGTATACAGTACATTTAAGTGTTATGTTAAGTGCTATGACACTCATATCTCATGCTCATAACATACATCTACCAAAATTGTCAACCAATGATATTCAAACCACTGACTTATATTCATGAGCAAATTTTGAATAACGACACCTTGTTTTTGTCAGCCACATGTTCAACACAGACTGTGAGCAGACGTATTTGAAATCAGTCAATGAAAGACGGGTTCACTCAAGCCTAACATGTAGGATATACAATATAACAACAATCAAACTGATATCAACTGTATGGGTGGTCCGGTATTCCTAAGAGGTGCATGTTTCAATAACTTCCAAAATAGCAGAGACACAGATTTCATCACCGCTGGGGAATAACCGAACTTACTGGGAGGATATTTCTTAATCTGAGCCGAAGTTAGGACCCGTCGCTGCCAGGGCGCTTTTTGCCTAAATGACTAGCAGAGTCTCTGTTTCGCAGATTGGGCTGGATCTTGTACATGTTGGGACCCAGGGACCAGCGCCAGCTTGCGCGGGTCTCCGCACCAGTTGGGACGACTGAATCCGCTGCCCCGACAGTGGATGGGCAGGGCTTGTTCTGCAGCAGCTGAATGAGCATGGTCATCTCCGGGCCCAGCCGTGGCACCATGCTGGTCCTGATGCGGTCAACTGTGTCCTCATCACAGTCCATCAGGCTCTGTAGAAGCTTACCATAAAACCTAGGACAACAAAGAAACAGGTGATTTTTCTTCAGAGATTACAACATGATTGGAGAAAAAATACAGAGCCCTGTGTGTACGCATGTTATGCCTTGCTAACACAATCAAGCTAATTAAACATTTGTATTTTTTGGCAATGCAAATGTCATTGCATTGCCCATTGCAATTTTGCATAGCCGATATGACGCATTTTATTTACATCAATAAAGTACATCTAACATTGATGTATTTTTCTGGGATTTTATTAGAACGCAGCACAAAGAAGTGCCTAGTGGTAAATTAAGAGGGATATTCACACATTTGCCATACAGTGTTGATCAGTTCCTTTAATTGGACACCCCTAAATACAACTGAGTGCAACCAATTGACTTCGGAAGACACTTACATAGTAAATCAAAATTTCATTATTACATTTTCTATGAAAATTCATGCATTTAAAGTGAAAGAAAGTTAGAGATAGTAGTGGGGAAAAGCTGAATCACGAAGACCAACGTCAGAGATGAAATTAAACATCTGGCAGAGGATTGTTCAATCTAAAAAAAATAAATAAAAAAATGGGAAAGAATGAAGGACAGCTGCACCTTGACCAAGACCTGTCCCTTCCTGAACTGACAAATCTCTCAAATAGCATGAGGTCTAAGCTCTGGGGGAGCTGCAGAGGTGGACCACCACTGCTTGTAGGCGTGTCAAGATAACAAATTTTGCTGGATGATAAATTGTCACAGAAGTTATTGCGATAAACTATAACATTGTTGTTCTGAGACTATTTTTAAGCACTATAAATCAGACAACTGGAAATTATTGAGGTCATTTTGACTTATCATTAATGGATTTGTTGCTTACTATGATAGGCCTGCCTAGCTGAGAACTCTACAAATTTGCCCTACATGGAAATCTGGCAACAAGAAAGTTATTATTAAAAGAAAGCCACATAAGGTATATTTTACAATTTACCAAAGAACATACAGAGAACAGCAAACACACAAAAGCATGTGTTCTGGCCAGAATTGACCAAAGTTGGGCTTTTTGGTATGCCTGAAGGTGAGGTAGCACATAGCATCATCATACATGGTAGCAATAATCTCAAACACACAGCCAGAGTTACGGCATAGTCTGGATCAATGTATATCCAGATGTAGCAAATGGCCTCAAAAATTCTGAAGTCCAATTAAGAATGTGTGGTGACTCTTGCAAGGGGTAAGACTTCTGTTCACAGACAATTATAATGTCACAACTCTTCAGAATGGATCTTGAGATATTTTGTGAAGAAGACCTCTACTGCCTAGATGTATAAAACTATTAAACATATTCCAAATTGCTTTTTCTTACTTCTGTAAATGCAGGAAATGCTGGTTCTGCAAAGTTTTGACCCCGGAAAATTAAATGCATCTAAACGATAAAAAAAATTATAAAATAAAAATCATCAGTCGCTTACACATCCCAAATATGTACTACTTTTGGTTGATCTGTCACAGTAAATTGAAATGAAATAGAGATTTCAAATTTTGTAAGCAAACATAAAGTAAACATTTGCAACACATTGTAAATTAATTGCTTATTTGTCTTTCATTTGGATTTCTGTTCGTGCTGCGTTATCTGATGTCATGCATATGGGAGTAACAAAGCTGCAGTTCTAGCCCTGACTGAGTCTCATGCTCCACCCTCCGATTCTTTTGTGTCCACTCCTAAACTGCAATCCAGCATGTATTACAGCAACAAAAGGAATGAAAACATCCAAACTTGATAGTCTTGTTTGATTCTGTTGTACAGTATGGAAAATTACTTAAAGAAAACAAAAATCACAGAAGGATTTAGAAATAAATAATAAATTTAGTGTTGAGATTGTTAGAGCAAGAGACATGATTCGTGGAGATTCAGTTCTGCTCCAACTGAGCTCACCTATTGGGGAAATGACTTGGCAGCTGTGCAACTTCACCAATAGCATCTGGATTGGCTTGGGCAACATTGCAGATGCCCAGCCTGCTGTAGCACTCCTCCTGGACTTCGGTTATCATTCTTTGGAAGGTGGAGCAGCGACGGATGGTGGGGAATGCCTTGGAGATGATGCCATTGGCGATGCACTTAAGGCTCTCCTTTACAAACGCTTTACCCTGGAAAGAAAAGAGTAGGGCTTCACACGTTCTCATGTCCTGCACAGTTACACCCATGTAATCTGACCCGGCAAGCAGCAATCAGAGAGAGGAAGCGGGAGAGAAAGAGAGACTTAAAGTGTGTACCTGAGTGTCAAATTTAGCAGCACTGTACAGGAAGGACTTGCAGATGTCATGTAAGCCATCTGTGTCACACGTTGAGTTTTCCAGGCAAGCGAACGCTCCACAGCCAACTTGGAGGGCACTGTTGAGGCAGCGTGCCACATCTGCTGTGTGCACAGAGAATGATCTGTCAGCATGGGAACCAACAGCGGGTTCACTGGGAATCACTGAGCTCATTACACAAGAGTTGCCAAGGATTCGGCAAAAAGAATGCAGCCAACAAAGGGGAATGTTTCATACTTTGGTGGTTCACAAAAGACGTACAGTCACTCAAGGCTGAAAGTGCCTTGACTGGAGTTTGGACACCTTAAAGATCCAAGAATCTTAGACTCAGGCTCTTTGCAGGGACTACCATTTGGCTCTTTTAAGTAGCATTTAAATAACGAGACCAGGACTGTAGATATATCTTTACAAAGTAAATGAAGACATAGTCTCTGTGTTTTACAATTAGTTTTAAATGTCCAACTAAATTGAGCCCTTCAGAACCTACCGTCAACAATTAACTCAGCTTTGATACGTAGAATGGATTTCATACATGTAGAAATGATGAAATATATTTTTAAAAAATGTTGCTTTACTCATTCCAGGAATGTTGCATGACTAGAATAGGTATTAGGCTGATGATGAGGCAAACAAAAACCCTGATCTTCAAATTCTCTGAAATCGCACGTCCCTCAGCAATAATCACTCAACCTATATTTGTGCCAAAAAACAAACAAAAAAAACCTGACCTTGGTCCACAGCTGAAATTTCCCATTACACATCAGAACAAAGCAATAAAGCACATTGTCGAAAATCACAGTGTTGACTTCTAATTAATTTTTGACTCCAGAACCCACTGTAGAACCTGCCCTTCCTTTGCAATCATCTGAATCAGGGACCCTCCGTGTTTGACCCCAGTCAGACAAAGTATGCCGGCCATAAGGGGCCAGAAAAATTCTGGAAAATTCAGCATGCCATTCCTAAATCTTGTGATGATGAAGCAGTTTCTGTGGAGTCAATGAGCATCCCTGTTCCCATTTGCTTTGTATCTCTGAGCTAAAAAAAAAAAAAAAAAAAAAAAAAACGAGATTTACGTTTTTGCAGTGCGTTTTCCTTCAGAATCAGGGTTTTGATTCACCACTAACAGATGAGAGATTCCAACTAATGGGGTTGAATGTTTGCATCTAACCTCCCCACCCCCAGTGGCAGGCAGGATTTGAATTTTATCTTTTTTTTCTTTTTTTCCTGAGGCAAGCAGGAAAACATAAATAAATAAAAATAAAATAAAAAAGAATGTAACCTACCAATGTAACCTACTTCTATCTCTAACTTCAAAGCTGACATTAAACGCTACATTAAAAAGTCCTCCACTGTGCTGATATATGCAGCGGAGACAGAGACTAACAGCATGACACAGCCTGCGCGCTCAGGTGTCAGCACCAAGCTCCATGCTCATCTGTTGCCGGCAGGACACCGGCAAAAAAAAAAAAAAAAAAAAAAAAAAAAAACAGCGTTAATCCCGCACCCGTGAAGCGACTCGCTCGATCGCACAGAAAAAGCCTGCATAGGCCAAAAAAAAAAAAGAAAAAAGAAAAATGAGGAGAAGGAAAAAAAATCTCCTCGTAGGTAAGCCAGTGCATTTGTGTAAATGATGTGTAAAATTTTATATATAAATATATATATATATATATATATATATATATATATATATATATATATATATATATATATATATATATATATATATATATATATATATATATATATATATATGATAAAGCAGATAAAGCATTGCTCTCTGAAAATGCATGCAGATGGAGGCATCTTGCTACTTACAAGGGCTGTTGACAGAAAAGCGCACTCTCCTGGGGGAATAGGACTCGTTTTGCTCCAGTTCATATGCAGATGCATTCAGCACCATCAGGAGAAAAAGTCCGGTCCTCAAAGGCATTGTCCTCCCAGCGCAAGAGACCGCACAACTAAACGCACAGGGACGCTTCCTGCTTGCTGTGCAGTTCATAAGAGCGAACGCTCCTGGAGCCTCGGCTGAGCAAATCTAGGCTGGAGCAAGTGATTTCCTCCCACTGTGCACTCCTCTCTCTCTCTCTCTCTCTCTCTGCTTTTGACTTGAATGACAGATTGCACCGATGTCAGGTCTGCGCGGGGTTTATATGGGAGCGCTTTATGTTACGAGTTTAGCGCTCGGACCAATCACCACGCAGCAGCAGCAGCAGCAGAAGCAGCAGCAGCGCGGCGCTGCTCTCCCCGCTCTCGTCAATTGATGGAACAATCTAACAGCGGTCAGCGCCGCCGGGTCCAACAGTTTGACATCTGGGCTTTAGCGCCCGAGTCACTGCGCGATGCAACATGTTTTCCTTTCCGGTCTGAATCTGATGATAACTTTTAAAGAAGAGGGAGCGCGAGAAAAATCTTGTTTTAGCATAAATAATAAGAATAATTCTAATACTACTACTACTAATAATAATAATAGCAATTTCCAACATGAGTCACGTTTTACTTAACCTGACTGAAAATTGCACACCTTCTCATGAACATGATGTTAGTGACGGAATTTACTCTGAATAAGTAAAAACAAACAAACAAACAAACAAACAAACATAATATAATAAACAAACAAATAATATAATAAACAAATATATATATATGCTATATATATATATATATATATACACATACAATTGCAAGATGATGTGCTTTTTACATTTTCTAAAATCAATTAATCTGATGCCAAATCTATTTGTTTTGAGTTAAATTCTGCTCAGATGATTGTGGCTGAGCGAGAAGAATGTCATGATCCAGGGAAATTACTTGGATGAATTCCCTGGTGTCTGGTCTGTTTAATTTTTCAGCCATATTCTTTTCAGTTCCCTGCGTTCATTAATGTCATATCAGTTTGCCTTTCTTAGTTCATTTTTTGTGTGTGTGTGTTCTGTTGTGTAGATTCAAAATTAAGTCCCTTTTTTCTTCGAGTAGTTTTACATTTCCTGTGTGTAGTTTTTTCATGTTCCATCATTCTACCTGTTGGCCTTCACTTACAGGTGCATCTATTTCATAATAAACCACCTGTATCTTGTTGGGAATCACTCACTCAAACAGTATCTAAGCCTTTCTGCTTCCTGCTGAATTTTTCTGGACAATGTTTCTGGACCTGCATTTGCTGCAGTTTTCTCCCTATAAGTTCTCCATATTATTCTTCATTGCACAATAGTGAATTAACTTGAGTCAGATATGCATTTGGATGCTTTATCAAAGAGTATGTTCCCTGCAATCTAAAAGTGATGGCTTTGACTGCAGCTTCCACTGCTGCCTCATGCCTATTGATGTATAAATGTGTGCATTTATGAGTGCGGCTGGTGAATGTGACTGAAGTGTAAAGCGGTTCGAGTGCTCAGCATGACTAGAATAGCACCATAGAAGTTCAAGCCATTTACCATTTGTTGAATTTGGAGTTACGAAAACAGGGCCATTCCATTTCCCAGAAAATGTGGGCTGCAGACTTAGTTTGAAACTACAAAAAGTGAAAGAACGAAAGAGCGAGGTAAGAGTTTTTAAAGTGAGGTTATGTGAGGTTATTATCAGTAATGGCTGCCTCAATTGGACAGCCTTCTGCTATTATGGCAAGGGAACTGTTATCATTAATGACTTCATAGAAACTCACTTTAAAACGTCTGAACTATTCTGTCAAATCATGATCTCATTTTAGATAAAAATGACATTTGTGAGTATATGTTCTGTTTTTCATATATTCATTTGTAAAATATAATGACATTTTGTACTTGAGGTCCACCTATAATAAAAACCTTTCTTTATAGTGGGTGCATCCATGGATTATACATGTTGAAAACTTTAAATAACTTCTGTCAGAGCTGTTTAAGAATATTACAGTACAGTGGTACCCTGTTGTCATATGGCATATCAAAACCTAAAAATTATCACTAAGCTGGCTTTCAATGGACATCTATTTAACATCCATGTCTCTTCTGAACAGCTCAGATTTTGTGTAACTGGCCAAGTACACAGACTCCCAGCTCTTTAACACTTTAATAACATTTTAATCAACAAGTGTTTTAGTCAAATTTAGTAGGTACTTCACCAGACGTCAACAGCCCTGGCTGAATGTCAACCCAAAACATTCAAATGACATATTTCCTTTATCGCTCTGACATTTTCCTGAACCAGGCTCAGTGATGACGCCATTGTTTCTCTGGCTTTCGGAAATCAACTTGACATGGAAATGAGCTACTCACACAAACTGCGGATAATCACCGCCCTCTCTGGAACTGCGAAAAAAACGCCGGCTTGGAGTCCAGCTGCACGTGCCCAACATACAGAGGATTATGTGTGGGACTGTAAGCTATCATTTATCATGGAGGCTTCACGCCTCTTCACATCGTGCAACGCTCAGCCGTTTCAGAAAGGATGGAGGCTGAAATATTCCGATAATCAAAGGAGGGAAAGATTCAGATGGAGATTTACTGCTATAGCTCCCCTGAAAGTCATGTAGCTATGCAATTTCTCTTATCACACATGTTGGGGATCAGTTAGTGTCTCTGAGCCAAGCGTACATGAACTCCAAACACTAAATAACCTTGATTTATTTCTTTTATCCTTCCCAAGTCAGAAACAGTTAGTAATTCAAAATCATTGTACTGTCTTATTAATAGCAGGAGTTTAGCATCTTGTCAAACTGTTGGAACCTGATGCCTGGTACGAAAGCCAACAATGGGCCCTTGCCAGCCGCAGCAGTGCCCTTATAATGGAAAAATAAGATACTTTCGCCAGTCTAATGAATAAGCTGCTACCAACTGTCCCACTAAATCTTTCTCTATAATCTAAACCCAAACAGTAGCAGCTTACAATTTGGATGAATAGATTAACTTGTTTTTACAGAAGTAAGACAAGAACCCAATGAGGATTTTGCCTCGACTGGCACCCAGCCAGTAACATATGGAGAGTTCCTCCTGGATGATGCAGTGTCTTTTCCAGGTTTTCAAACGGATAATGCTGAAATAATAACTCCTTGATGATGTTCTTCTTGATGATAGTAACTCCCTGCTGTTATTGCAATATAACAGCTACACAATTTCACACCTTGCTGAAATGAAGCAGTTTTGTGTGCCATACGATAGTAATCATGTTGTATGTGTTATTTTTCTGTTTTTTGTTTTTGTTTTGTTTTTTACAGGAGAGGTTTGGTTGGCCGTATTCAGAGGTTCAGAAGTTGGTCTTCTTCTTGTGAGCACTTCAGTGTGCTCTCTTGCCTCCTGGAGCTCAGCCATACCACAAGTACATTTGAGACGGCCCTTTGTGGTCTCCTCTGGGGAAAAGCATAATGAATTCCTTTGTCAGGTAGGAGAAGGTGTTATACTTTGTTTTCAGAGATATGACAGAGAACGGTGGCATGGCACGGGAGATCGAGGGCAGAGTTCAGCGAGAGGACAAATCTGTTAAAGAGGAGAAACATTGAGGCTGCTGAAACAGCTGAGGGTTTTGCATTCATTTCCATTGAGGTACATGAACTGATTCACTGATTGGAAGCCACTTTGCATCTTAGATTAATTTTGCCCCAAGCTCATTGCTGTATGCATTAAAAATACCTTTTCATTAAGAACCATTTTACAATGAAACTGCATATTTTAGGTATTTTTAGATTTTTAACACTGAAGTAGCAAATTAATTCCATTTTATTTTTCCATAACTATCAATTACATTTTTTTTTCTAAATCAAGAACACAAATTGTTTCATTTCTTTCAGCAAAATACTTTAAATGTCAAGGACCCTGTCAACTTGTGCCCACTAGAGGGAGTGTGATCAGGTTTTACTGACTATAAGTCAATTCCCACAGTGCAATTCAAATGCTCTATATGTGGTAGAGTTGAAAAGTAGACTTTATGATTATTAAAGGAAAGGAAAGACCACCTGCAGGATTACAGATACAAACATTGTAAACCCACTCAGCTCTGGTTTGTTGGCCCTGCCTTTGCAACTGTGAGTGTGTGCCTGTGTTTTGATGTGTGAAGTTTGGCCAGGGGGATAATGTGTTTTTCTCTCCAACTGCAGATGCTTGCGGTGTTCACATAAGAATGAATTTGAGGGAAATATTTCGGCAGGAGGTGGACTTTAGGCAAAGTGAACGTATAATCTTCCAGCTAGCTATAGCACTCATCACTTTAGCTACCAAAAAAAAGAAGGGAAATAAGTCAAATTTAATTACTTTTTTATTTTTCATGCTTTCCTAATACAAATTATTTGCACAAGCTTATGAAAATGTTTTTAAAAAATTGTAAACTGCTTCTGTGAGTCAAATTACTCTCAGAATATTGTTGCCATCACAACCTTTACTCTTTGTGTTTTTGGTCAAACGTGTCCAGGTAAAACATTGAAACAACGTTTCCGGGAAAACAATTGTCAAGCAAAGCTCTTTTGTATTTTTCACTTCTCAAAAGGCATCTACTTTAAACAAATCTCCCAGTTTAAGGCGGGATTTTAAAAGGCCCAATAGTTAGAAAACACACAATTTTTAAACCTAAAATATCTCATTATTGTATAAGCAGAAAGGAACATTTGACTTGTATTATGAAAGATATATCTTCAATTTTACTTTCAGGCAGCCGTCTGGTTTTCCTGAGGCTGATGCAAATTTGACTTGATGGAAAAACTCAGAAGTTCTACATTCCTGAAAGTACATCCAGTACAAAATTTAGAACAATACATCTGGTTAAACAAAAACACAACCTGTAGTTCAGTAACATGAAATATTAGGTTCTAAATATTGCACAAGTGTCTGTTATGAGGAGGACATACAGTACTAAGAAAGTATTTACCTCTCCCATATTTCATCTGTTTGCGTTTTGCCACTGACAAAATTTGGTCATAGAATAAATCTCAACAAAAGAAAAATATCCATCCAAATGAGAGACATAAGCCTTTGAAGCCGGGTTCTGTTCCGAGAGCCACGTGGCCAGAACAGCTCACCAGGGACGCAACCTGGAGGCACCACAACTGGCTCCTCTTGAAGCAGAGAAGCAGCAGCTCTACTAGTAAGTGCTCTTGACAGACCAAGCATCTTACCCTATCTCTA